CATCCGGTGGTACCCTGGTGCCCCCCCATAGGACATCTGCGACAGGATCAGGGGTGCTGAAGGTCAGGAGTGAGGGGCACCAGCAGGGCACGGGGGTGGAGGGGGCTGCAGGTCAGGAGTGAGGGGCACTGACAGATCAGGCTAGGGTGGGGTAGAGATGCTGTGTCCCCCCCCTTTCCTATCTTCCCCCACCCCCAAACACTGCTGGGTCTAAGACTTCAAACCTGTGCCAAAATGCAGGCACCTCTGGGTGGCGCCAGTGGCTGGGTGTAAGGGATGCAGCTGGCTCTGGGGTGGGGCCTCCCTGGCACACAGCGGCCTCTAGTGCTGCCATGGGGCACTGGGGCCTGCCCTGCCCCACCCCAGTCTTGTCTGCTGCTCCAGCTGACGGGATGGGGGCCACAAGCCCAACACCCTAGGTTCTGCCCGCTGCTTCTCACCTGCCCCTCTCCTTGCTTTGCAGACAGCATGATCCGGGTAGGTGCTGACTACCAGGCTGTGATCCCTGAATGCAAGCCAGGTAAGAGCCCTAGCCCCATCCCAGGCTGGACCTAAAAAGGTGTGGGGTGGGGGGACCAACACCTCCCTTAAGTCTATCCCAGCTCTACCAACTGCTGTAACCCCCTCCCTGCTGGCTCTTGGCAGCTAGGCCATGCCCCTCCCCCATCCCAAGTGGATTGCCCATGAGGGGTTAGTTGAAGCCATGGGGGAGATGCATCAGGATCCCCCAGCTTTGGAGTGAGGGGACAGGGGCTGAAGATCGGGAGTAGGGGGCACCAGCATGGCTGGGAGTGCCAGGGGGCTGCAGGTCGGGAGTGAGGGGCATGGGCAGGGCAGGGGACTGTGGGGTATGAGTGAGGGGCAGTGGCAGGACTGGAGGGGGCACTATGCTGACCCATGTTCCACCCCCCTGCAGAGAGCCCCGCACGCTACAGCAACAAGGAGCTGAAGGGGATGCTGGTCTGGTCTCCCAACCACTGCGTGTCTGATGCCAAACGTGAGACGCCCTCCTACCCCCCCCCCCCCCCCCCCGGGGCCAACCCCCCCCCCATGGGAGCCACAGCCCCTGCCTAGCCCAGCCCAGCCCAGCCCAGCCCCGCTCCCCATACAGAGGGGGCCAGGCCCTGGGGGGCATGGCAGGGAGTCCTGCACTGATATGTGTCTGCACTGGTGCTCCCCAACACATACACACAGGGCACCAGGGACGGCCCTGTCTGGGATGGGATATCCAGCTGTGCACCTCCGCATGCACATGCAGCCTGTGTCACATGGAGTGCGTATTGAGGCCCACACACACGCACACAAATGTACACCCACAGAACCCAGGTGCTAAGGACACACACGCACTGAACCAAGTGCTAAGGACAACCACAAGCCCCTATGGAAATAACTCAGGTGTGACACGTGCACAGTCCGGCACACACACGGACAGGCAGATCTGTACGCACAGAACCCAGGTGTCCAGGGCGGGAGGAGATGGGGGCAGGTGGGTGCAGCCCCGGCTCTCCCAGGCAGCGCAGTGCTGACGCCCGGTCTCTCATCCCCTCTAGTGGACAAATACATCGCCATGGCCAAGGACAAGCACGGCTACAACATTGAGCAGGTAGGGGCTAGGGGTGGGGGCAGGGCAACCCCTAGGTGTCACCCCATCTCCAGCCACCCCCACCTCATACCCCCCTCCAGCCCCCCCCACCTCATCCCCCCCCCAAGGACCCCCTATACACCCCACCCCATCCTGTGCCCCCTCTCTGGGGACCAGTGCCCCGCCCCATGCCCTTGCTGCCTCCTCTCACCCCCTCCCCCTCCCCAGGCACTGGGCATGCTGCTATGGCACAAGCACGACGTGGAGAAGTCCCTGGCCGACCTGGCCAACTTCACGCCCTTCCCAGATGAGTGGACGGTGGAGGACAAGGTGCTGTTCGAGCAGGCCTTCAGCTTCCATGGCAAAAGCTTTGCCCGAATCCAGCAGATGGTATGTGCTGCCCACCCCTGCTGCACCTGCCAGGTGGTCCAGGCTGAGAGCCCCCCCCACCTGGCAGAAGATACCTGCCACCAGCCCCTCCCCCACCATAGATAGTACATGCCACCAGCCCCCTCCCTTCCCAGATGGTAAATGCCACTAGCTACCCCCCCCACCTAACAGATGGTATGTGCTGCAGCTGCCAGATGCACCCCACCCTACCCGAGGGCTGGCACTGGGTATCATCTTCACTTCACCCAGCAGATGGTTTGTGCCACCTTGTACCCACCCCTAGTACCTAGCAGATGGTCTGTACCACTGAGCTCCCTCTCCCCTGGCCATATCTAACTGATGATGCATGCAACCATATACCCACCATATATAGCAAATGGTATGTGCCACCAGGTCCCCACCCCATACCTGGCAGATGGTATGTGCCACTGGCCATTTCCCTACCACCAGATGGTAAGTGGCACCAGCGTGACCAGCCCCC